TAGCAACTTGAAATGCTCCCAAAAATGGCTCCACAGCATGTAAACATATAATATAAGCTCTGGCGGACTTGGTTCTATGGTAGGTCTTAAAGGGTTAAAGAGTCAGTGCACGGGCTCAGGAACACTGCAGGTTAAAGCTGCATCACCCAGAGAAGAAGCCACGTGTGGCCATGATGGAGAAACCAGTTTACACACTGATGTTAATGATGCGCATGGAAACATGGACCTGTCCAACTTTTAGAGACGTGTTGATGGCATCACATTCAAAATGAGCTCAGGTTTTTATTTACATGCTTCATTTTTTTATTCTCTGTTTTGTTCTCAATAAAATATGAGTTCATGAGACCTGCACACAAGAGCCTCCAAACGTGTACGTTGGGTGTTCTTTGAAACTCTGTTATATATAATAGAGTAAATTATTAAAGATGAGCAAAATAATGGATGAGTGCTGCCCTGTATGTGAATGCTCAGCCTCGATGTCAGCTGTTATTTGAATGTCAGTAAATCCATTTGCAGACCGACCAGCAGCAGTTTCACATGAGAATTTTCAGAATCACAAAAAGATTAAATACTGGAAGTAACGACCGGGAGGAGACATGAATCCATCCAGACGATTGATCGATTGATCTCTGGAATGATGCAACCAGTAATAACACGACCAGATTATTGATAATTAAAAATGCTCCCACGGCTACGGCCACCTGTCAGCCACAGAGGCCACGCCCCTAACCATGCAAACTTTAAGTCTTGTATTTTTTCAGTAGGTGTTGGTTTATTTCTCCCGTGCACTCAGAAACATTGACGTGGGTGTTTATGGGCATGGACGCACTGTCGGAGGCTGCCTCGAGTGGCCATTAGAGGAAGTGCAGATGTGTGAGCTGATGGCGTAGCTCTCAGACCCTCAGCAGTGCACCAAACACCAGCTGTTTGAGGAAACTATCGATCCTTTTAAAGAAGTGAAATATATATTTTAAGGTGTTTTTAAAGATTTATGTCCTCAGCAGGGACCAGTGGACTCGAGCCAGACTGCTCTTAGTGAGACAGGAAGTGCATTTAATCAAATAAAAACTTACTTATGCTGCAAGCGCACATCATGTGGTACAAAAACAGACCATAGACACTACAACTGTGCTTTCACCTTCTCTTCCTGCAGAACTCGCGGTACCAGACGTACCAGCGGATGTGGAACTACATGTACTCCAAGCAGCCCAGCGTGTTCGTGAAGAGCACAGAGGAGGGCATCGCCCGCGTCCTCAACTCCAAGTACGCCTTTCTGATGGAGAGCACCATGAACGAGTACTACCGCAGCCTCAACTGCAACCTCACGCAGATCGGAGGACTGCTGGACACCAAAGGATACGGCATCGGCATGCCTCTGGGTGAGGAGGGGGGAGGGGCTAACCGGGTACCACAAGCCAAGGTAGACTGCCCCCTGCTGCTGAGTGCTGATGTTAATTAACTCGGGATCGCTCTGTTCTGCTGTTAGCGAGGTCTCTGACAGCTCAGGTGATCCTGGTTAACACACAGAAAAGACACGAGCAGCTTTCAGGAGAGCCGCCGTCACTCGTCGGCCTGTTAACACACGAGCATCGAGGCGGCGGCGTCCATAGGGGGCGTTTACTTTAAATGCAGGAGAATCACAACACAGGAGTTGGTTTAATTTTTACGTTCCCTCTCTCAAAGTTTAACTCAACCACCGACACCTCAACAAAACACAAAATCCTCAGCGAGTCACATGACCGCAGAATCAGGAAGTTTGAGTCCAGAGACACAAACGATCAACACATTTTACCACAACACACGAGAGCACGGCAGCGTGCTGTGCAGGAGTGAAGAGGGAGTTCGGCTGCACGACAGGAGCTGTCGGCCAAAACGACACAAAGCTGACAAAGAGTTTGTAGCACAGCGACGAGCTGATCTGAAAAGAATCAGGGGTAAGGAAAGGGCCGTCTGCTATTGATTAAGGGTGAGGGGAGGAGGATGGGACAGATTTATACATTATATCTGATATGATTTAAATATTTAATAGTGAATTTTAAACATTGATCGTTGGTTTGGGCGAGAGAAACAAACCCTGATGAGTTTTGTCCAAAGAGGACGGATGTTTCCAGAAAAGCCAGCCTGCAGTAGAAGAACAAACAGGAAGGCGTGCCAGGACCTTTCAAATGTAAAAGACCCAAAAAGTGGGCGTGTCATAGTTTTGTCTTCCATTATCTTTTATCGCGAGACTGAAATGTAATTTATTATACAAAAACCGTTAAAAATACAAAAGCAATTAAAACAAGCAATTAAAACAACCCCGGCCAGTGGCATCCACCGTAAAAGTCACCAAAAGTCAAAATCCAGCCAATCGGAGGGGGCAAGGAAAACCCCGGCGGCGTCCTCGCC